ATAGAATTATGTTTCCCCCGTCTAGATTGTGTGTGTGTGCGTGTGTGTGTGTAAGAGATGTGTCCAAGTAACTGCACTTACCTGTGAGTTTGTCCATTGAATGGTGTCTGTTAGTAGGATTGTGTTTTTCCCCTTTGCGTGTGTGTGTGTGTGTGTGTGTGTAGCCCAGCTCCCTGAAAGGATGAGTATGTAAATGGTTTATTATGCTGAGAAGGTCTGCAAATCATTTCCTGTGGGCTGACAATTTATCAGATCCCCTTGAGGTTTAGATGCTCCTCTCACAAACACGTCTGCATATGTGTGTGTGTGTGTGTGTGTGTGTCTGTGTGTGTGTCTGTGTCGGTGTTTGGTCAGGAAGATTAAGAGAGAGAGACCAGAAGAAAAAAAATACAAGCAGCTTGAAGAGGTTTGTTTTCTCTGGCTCTTAAGGATATAAAAAAAGTTGGTCATTTGCATTTTTCACCAGCTTCCCCACGAGAGAGGGGACAAACCAGTCCAATCAATTCCATAGTGACTTGCATGTGTGTGTGTGTGTGTGTGTGTGACTCTACCTTCTCTGCACAGACCTGCTTGCTGGGTGGTGACACTGCTGGCGAGCGAACTGAAAACTGCAAACGACAAAAGCTGGAACAACAGGAAGATAATTCAGATTTGATTGGTTTCACGTGTTCTTCATAAACAACAAAGTTTTCCTGGGCCTCCAGCGTGTTTTCCTGCAAACATGGAATCCATTTGTCCCCTGCGTCTCCGTGCCCTCTAGTTGCACATGCTCTTACATACAGAGCAACACACACACTCACACATGTACACGCACAGTGAAATGAAAGCAGGCACAGAGAGCGAGCCCACCGCTGTGGCACTGGGATCTTTTGATATACGGTCAGGAACTTATTTTGAAAACAGCCACTTTAAGCTGCTATAAATAATCACGAGGGACTTGGAGACGAAAATGTGAATGAGGTTCTCCAGATCTGCCTCTGCCGTCACAACAACATGAAATGAAAGTCCTGACCAACCAGCTCCAATATGCACACACACACACACACACACACACACACACACACACACACACTGCTTTAAAGGGAAGATCCCCTCAAAGACATGAATTTACATCCAGTGTTATTTGTATCATTAATTAATAATATTGATACAACTATTTTTTTTAATTCTAGAAGCAGTGTCTCTGATAAACTGGATAATGAACTGTTTTCATATGGTGGCTCCCAATTTGAGGATCTAAGGGATCATGAGATGATCACTCACGTACAAAATGAGAAAAAAAAAAACTACAAAGCCTTGATCAGACTTTTTCAGACATCTTCTGTTTCTTCTTTTGTAAAATGCACTGACTCATCAGATTTATCCTCTAAGGTTTTTTTTAAAATATTTCAAATGACTCAACCTGAAGAGAAAAGAAACAGCTGGACTCACTCACTGAGCTGCTCTCAACGTACTGTATGCGCGTATGTGTTTGCACACAGAAAAGCATTTTAATGTGGCCACTGCTTATGGCTCATGATTCAAGTCTGTAACACATGAGATGAGATAAAAATGTATTGATCCCACGCTGGGGAAATTCACTTGTTACAGCAGCAGATAATCAGAATGAGGCAGACAAGAGACTATAAGATTTTGTCTACAATCTATAAATTTAAGAGTGATAAAAATGCATTTATGTATTATACACCTTTCA